GCAATCAGAATCAGAAATCATCGATTACTTTTTTTTTTTGATCTGCAAATTTCACATTTTTTTGCAAACCGCAATAAAAATCCAAACAAAAATTGAATAAAAATCAAATAATCGAAAAGTTGACAACTAATCGATTGCAAAATTTTTGACAATTTGTAGCACTAAATGTGATTCTATAAATTATTTTTTCTTATAAATTAGGCTAAAAAAAAAATTTTTAAAAAGGTGATAGTAATTATATTATTAATGTGATTATATAAAGGTATTTTTAATATTAAAAAAACTGTACAAAATGTAATTGTATAGAGGTTGTGACTATATAGGTGATTATATGGGAGAAGACTGTATAAGTTTTGATACAAATTTTGTAAATACAGAAATATGTTTTTAAATGAGTTTGAGTTAGGGTAAATAGCAAATTTTTATATCAAAATTTAGTTATTATGAAGATTTTTGTTTTTGGCCAGTTTTATATAAAAATCTCTATTTATTTTAAAGAATCTTTTTAGAGAGTAATTTGTATTTTATTTTAGTAAAAAAATCGCAATACAAACTTTTATAAATAAAATCCAAACTACATATACTGTATTTTAAAAACTGTTAGTTATACTGCTTAAAAAAAAAAAAAAAAAAAAAAAAAAAAAAAAAAAAAAAAAAACTGTTAGTTATCAAAAGAAGATAAATATGTATACACAATAGTGATACTAAGGTATTAAATTTTTATTATTTATTGCAGATCAGGGGGGGGGACATATTTGTTGATATCTTTGCAGTAAATATTAATTTAGAGAATCCCTTGCAAATTCAGTACAAATCCATTAAGAACACGTGATTGTAATTTAGGTGGATTTGTGTACTCCGACCAAGTGATACTATCACTATAAATTCTTGCTGTTCCATTAATTGGATCGATAGAAAAAGCCTCCTAGATAATATAACATCAAATAATTAATATCAGCATAATTAGCAAACAAAATCGTAATTAATCACTTACTTCGACTCCCGCATCCATATAAACACACATTTTTTCGTGTATAGCTTCAGCGGTCGAACGTATCTCTGCAACAAAATTTGGAGCGATCGGCGGATACGCCTCGTTTTGGTTGTTTGATGACAATCTATTCCAACTGCAATAATAAAAGTTTAAAAAACGCAGAAATGTAAACCATTTACGGTATAATGATCAGAAACCTTCTTGCTAGACATCCGGACATCGAATAGTTTCAGTAGGTAATGGCAAATAAAAACCCGTCTATGGTTTAATATAAATATTTTAAAATGAACATGAAATTAGAACAAGGGTAAAGAAAATTTTTACAAGATAATTTGCAAAACATACCTGGCTACTGCCATATAGTCCAACCAGGCCAGGATTACTTAGGCACCAACCGGTAACTTCGTATATTAGTTTAGCTTCTCTTTGACCTATTTTTTATCATAGTTTAGCAAGAATTTTTGCTGACAATTCTAACTTATGATATCAAAAAAAGCATACCAGTTTGAGCATGAACGGGCATTATTGCAAGTTTACCATTGGTTAGGTCCAGTTTATAATAGGAAGGGAGAATTTCCGCGAGTTCTTTAAAATTTTCAGCCGTAGCAGACATACCATCAACAAGTGATATTTCAAGTTTATCCCCGTCCAGTTTATAATGGGAAGGGAGTATTGTAGCGAATTCATCGAAATTTTCAGACATTTTGGTATGGGCGTAGCAAACAAAATTAAAGACGTGATTGTTAAGATTAGGACTAAAATTTTTACGTGAAAATGTAATTCACGTTACACTTGATCTAGAGCACGTGATAACGATCCGATTGCCTTATACACGCGATTAAATAAGTTGAATATATTGTGGTATATTATTATAAAATAAGTATATAACAGATGTATAACTTGATTTAAATTATACGGTATATATTTTTTTATATGTTTCGTTTTAGATTTAAATTAGGATTGTTTTATATTCTTTTTAGTACAGTAAATGAGAGATTATCACAACGGGCAAAATAATTTATTTTTGTTATTCTTTATTTGCTCAAACTTCGTATGTATATCGCCCCAAACAAAGCTATTAACTGCATACAACATTTTTTAATTATTAAAATTTTTTTTTTCTGTTACTGATTTAGTCGACTTTGAAAAAACAATGGCTTTAGTTGATTATTTTTCATTAATGGTCAGGATCACTATTAAACGGTGTAAAATTTTGTTTATTAAATATTAACACAAAAATTTATGATTTCTTATTCATCAAATAGATAATATTAAATTCGTACTTTAAATTGAAATTTAATTCATCAAGTCATCATCGCCTTCCATTATTTCTTCCACCACTATTCGGCGGAGGTGGTGGCGCTCGTTGTGGTAATGTCAGAGTTGATAAATCAAGAGGAATCGCTATAAATTCAAAAATTAATAAATAAATATACTGATTAATGTAAAATAAATGAAACTAGCGAAATACTATACGTACAGCTCCCAGTAGATGCACCTGACGGATATACTTTTGTAAAAGGGACAAAACTACCAGGTGATGGAAATTCAGCAGAAGAATGAAATGTCCAACGACCTTCAGTGGTTGGTGGTTCTTGTGGTGTAAATATTGTTGCTAGTTGTATGAGAGAATAAATATTAATAAGGTTTAGTAAATATAAAAAAATACAAAATATAAAAAATATACAAAGAATTTAATTACATTTTGTTCCAGGTGGTTGTGGTGGAGTCAAGATCTTATGTGAATTTAGTTCTTTGCTTTTTGATAATATGGCAGATGAAGTAGGTCTTCTATCAATTGGTAATGGCGAACGCTCTCTCAGTGGTTGTGGTGGTGGAGATTGTGAACGTCGTCGTACAGGAGCCAATGGAGGTGATGATGATGGATTCGCAGCCGGTGGTTTAGTTGGTGGTGGTGGTGGTTTTTTATTAGCTGGTGGTGGCGGTGGGTTTTTATTAGCTGGTGGTGGCGGTGGAACTCGGCCATTTCGTGGAGGTTGTGTTGATTGTACGTTGCGCGAAGGTAGAGGAGGGGGTGATGGCGATGTGATAGTTGTATTTGGACGTGCAGGAGCTGGCGGCGGTACAGGTGATGATGCTTTTGATGTACGTGAAGGCAGTGGTGGACCACGATTCGGTAATGCAGGTGGTGTCGCTGAAATCGAAGCGTCTACATTAGATGCTACCGTCTTAATAAGACTCTTTGGAACATTATTTCTAATTGATGTAACAGGAGGAGTAACGAGACTAGGTATTGAAGGAGCACGATTATCACCACTTGGAGCCCTTGGACGACCACCTGGTAAAGGAGGAGGCGTGGCTAAACCTAAAAGAATAGAAAATTTTAAGTTTAATTCTACGTTACATAAAAAATTTTAACAAATAAAATTCTAATTAGTGTAAAGGTTACCATTCTCTTTATCAGTTTCAACAGTATTATTACGACTCTTCAATTTTGGTACACCGCCTGCAAACAAGCCACCAAGGCCAACAGGCGCGGGTACATTAGCACCACCACCGTTGCCAGCAGACACAGAGCGGCCTTTAGCGTCACTTGCAGCTAAACTTTTTCCTATAGACGATTAAAAAAAATTTCTATGTAAAAAATTGGTTTTCACAAACGAAATATAAACCCAAACTCAATATTAATATCTTGAAGGCTAAAGATTTTTTTATTTTTTTCTTCATTCAATCGAGATCCCACAAGTATCTATCTATATTATCTTTTTTTAAGGCAAAACTCACCAACGTCTAAAATGGGTTTGGATTTGTCATTTGTCACAGCCTTTTTCAACCTTTTTCCCTTTTGAATATCTGAAAGTAGAGCACTTCTACCGCTTGACGAGGGTGCCAGTGCTGGAGGAGGTGGTGGTGGCGGCGGCGGTGCAGACATTTTTTAAATGCTTTAAATAAATATATAATATATATATATCAATGACGAAAAATATTCTCTGGATGATATGTTGATGTACAAGTTTCCCCTTTTATAATTTTTCTCTATAAAAACTGCGGCAATTTCCGTGATATTCTGCATATTCTACGTAGTAAAATTGCCAAAAATTGCCAAGTATAATAAATTTTTTTTGTTAAGTTATTTTCGGCCGTATTATTTGCGTCATTAACGTTAAAACTTTTAAATGTGAAACACACAATTAGACAATCGCAAACTTTTTTTGGGTTTAACTTAAAAAGGTTTAACATTTAAAGAAAATCCGGAATATAAGTCTCTTATTAAAAAATGTTTTTCGATACGCAAATAACCATGTGATTTTTAATGAATAATCCAATAACGATAACGGTAGCATAATAGGTTTCAACTATAATAATTTTAAAAAATTTTACTTTGTAAATTATAACATTGTTATATATATACTGTATATATATAGTTTGTTATATGAAATAGTACGGTAGTGTTAGACACATAAGTAACTTTTTACAAATTCGTACTATTATTGGTATAAATTCTCTACTTGTACAATTTTGTATTAATATACAAATTTTTCGTTATTTGTCAATTACATAAAATTAAATATTTAAGAACCTAACCAACGATTTGATATGTATATAGACTGCATTATGGTTTAATTATGTTTGTAAATCGTATAAAAGTAATATATATAGGGGGGTAGGGGTATTGTAGCCAACTTTAATATTATATAAGATATAATAAAAATATGATCTATATAGTAATTATATATATAGAATTAAATAATTTTGTTAGTATCATTATTATTAAGATGAATCAAATAATAATAAAATTACTTGCTAAATCAAAAGAAATAATTATAACAAAAAATTGGGTCCGTTTTGGACGATTTTACACCAAAATGACCGGCTCGCCAAAATCATTGAAATCCAATCACAGGATCCCGAGACTGTTAAAGATTTGTTTATAAAAATTCACAAATTTCTTATTTAATTTTATTTAATTTTATTAAAATTAGATACGATTTCGGGATCATGTGATTGGATTTTAATGAGCTCCATTAAAGATAACTGATAATATATATTTCCGGATATCCAATGGATTAATGCAAAGAGCAAGTATTAATGCAAGGAGTGCATATTAATACAGTTGATCTAACGGTTGATGCAGAAGGTATTATATAATATAATGGTTAAGTTCTAACGGTTAAGATCTAACGGTTGATCTGACGGTTGATCTGACGGTTGATGTAAAAGGTATTATATACTGTAATATAACAATTAAAATCCAACAGTTAAGATCTATTGGTTGATCTAACAGCTGATCTAACAGTAAATTTAATAGTTTTGCAAATCAAGCTTTTTTATAATTAAGCGAATCAGTTTTGCGGTCACCTTAAGTAATCAATAATAAAGCGAATCACTTGAAGTCAATTTTAGTCGAACACCTTTATATAATAGTTACTTCAACCATCCAGAATTTTCAGAGTTTTACTTCAATTATTTTTCTGACCTTGCTCATATATTACATTCATTGATTTTCTACCCGGAATAATTCGGACATGTAGAATCAACTAATAGTGATGACTTTTTTAAATTCTATATATATGCGAATCTAATCTGGTGTAGTGACCTTTTTTTCGGCGAATTACTGTATATAAAGTCGAGGACTTCACAAGACATTATAAAAATTCGAATCTATGGTAAGTCGGTCACATTTTTCATATTTAT